TTTGGTTAACTCTCTTTGGTTAACTTTTCAGACCCTTTCTCTCTCTTCTAGGACTCCCATAATGCAAATATTGTTTCACTTAATGTTGTCCCATAATTCACATAGGCTTTTTTCGCTCCTTTTCATTCTTATTTTTCTCCTCTGTATGGATAATATTAAGAGATCTGTCTTCAAGTTTGCAGATTAATTCTTCTTGATTAAGCCTTTTTTGAAGCTCTCTCTTGCATTTTTCATCTTATTCATTGCATCCTTCAGCTCCAGAATTTCTACTTGGTATATCATGATTTATCTCTCTTTGTTGAACTTCTCATCTTGTTCATGCATTGAGTTCCTGAGCTCATTGGGTTATCTGTGGTCTCTTGAATCTTACTGCACTACCTTAAAATATTTTTAATTCTTTTTCAGTTGACTCATAGATCTCTATTTCTTTGGAGTTGGGTACTGGAAAATTATTGACAGTATCATGTTTCCTTACTTTTTCATGTTTCTAGTGGCTTTACATTGATGTCTGTGCATTGAGGGAGCAGTCAGTTCTTCTGTAATTTTTAAAGACTAACACTGGTTAGGAAAGACCTTTCTCTGAAGGTGGCCATGAGGGCTTTGGCTGGGTGGATGCAACATCTCTGATTCTAGGGGGAGCACAGTGGTGTAGTTTCCATACCTCTATCAGCCAAGGTCAATATTGTTCAAGACTGCATGGTCTTTGGTGGCCAAGACTGTGGAGGTCCTGCAAGTGGCAGTGGTGCCTAGGACTCTTGGGGTCCTCCGGGGCAGAGCTGCTGGGGTCTTCCTAGTTGCCCTTTTTGCCTGTGGGAGAATGTGCCAGACTGGGCTATCCCACTTGGTTTCAGGCACTCAGAGCAGCAGTAACGCTGGGGTGCTGGGCTCAGGTACATGTGGAACTACCGCAGTGCCTGAGACCTGGGGGCACAGGTGCCCTTGCTGCAGTGGTAATGCTGGTGTCTTAGATGCAGACATGTGCAGGTCTCCTGGGGAACCCGGGTCTGAGGCTCTGAGACTCACCACAGTATTTGGGCCCTAGAGGGCAGGGGGCAGAGCACCAGCAGTTCAGCCTCAGTGATGCCAGTTCAAAGCCATGACTCAGGACCCAGGGAATGGGACATAGAGCCTCAAAGTGCTGCCCAGTGATGGCAAGTGAGTGCCATGACATCAGACTCACAGAGTGGGCCAGAGAGCAGCAGCTGCAGGAGCACCGCCCAGTGGTGCTGGATCAAAGCTGTGACTTGAAATGTGAGAGGCAGGGCACAGATTCTGTCCATAGAGGGTGAGAGTTATGGTGTCCCAAACGCAGAGAGTGGGCACAGCATCAGGAGGGGCCCTGAGGCAGGTCTCACAGCAGCAGCAGCCCAGCCCCCATGAGGAGACACAGCCTGGGAATCCCATGCGGCTCCATCAGCAGGGCTCAGTGTTGTAGCCGAGGCTGCAAATGGCCATGGCAGAGATGAGCCTCTCTGAGGTGCTCCTGCTCTTCTGTCCCTTGGGATACCATTCACCTGAGGGAGTGCCCCCCGAGCTGCTTGACCTGAGGAGTGGAGGGGGGAGGGGGGGATGATGCAGATAAAATGGTAAAATGCTTCCCATGCCTCTAAGTGGCCAGGCCTGTCGCTCAGCCCCACAGGATTCTGTTTCTTTGTTGTAGCTCAGAGCTTTCCCAGAGCTGTTTCTGCATGTTGGTAGTTGTTTGTTTATTGTTTTCGTGGGAGATGAGCTTTGGGGCTCTCTAGCCGGCCTTGTTGATGTCAGCCCTGACAATGAAACTCTTGTTTTATTTCAAGTTTGAGAAAGTAGGAAAGAGTCAGGAAAGGTGGTACTGAGAATAAAATGTACCTCTGAACTGGGTGAAGGAGAGATTTAGACGGTGGCATAAATAACACACACAAGTATATTCAAGTTGGAACAACAGGATATGTTTTGTAAAATACCTTCTTTTTCTTAAGATGAATGCTAATCTTTTACTTTGTTATAGTAACATGTGTCCTTTAAAATGTGCAATTTATGGTGACCCACAAACCAAGCAGAAGTAAACCAATTTGAGACTTAAATGTTTTCTCTAGCTTATCCATATTCAAATAAGAAAAGAAAAAAAAAGTCATACTTTAAAAGTGCAGAGTCGTGAGTTAGTAATTTTCCCACCCATGCCCATGCAGTAGATAGAATCTGTATCTGTTTATCCAGGTATATTGAAGTTCTGGTAACAGGTCTTAATTTGGGGCTGAGTGAATAAATGAACGTAAAAGGTAGGAGCTCACTTGATCCTCAATTTTTAAAAAAAAGAAAAAGTAACTGTAACTGGTCTTTTAAAAACAACCTAACTATTATCTTTGCTGCTTTACTGGTAACATGCTAAAATGTCTGAGCTATTCAACAAACTCACATAGGAGCAACTAGTAGTCAAGTACAGACCTTTATTAAATCAGTAATAAATCTTAGGTGGCATATGGAAGAAGCTTGGTTTATTGGGGAAGCCTGATTTGGTTATTGATTGATTCTTTTCAGTAGTGAGGTGTGGTCCTGGCTGTTTCCGGTCAGGGTCTGCAGAGTGTCTGTGAAGAGATAAAATTGGGAATCAGGCATAGGATCTGACAGTGGAGAGTAAGTGGGATGGATACAAAGCGTTTCGTGAGAATGTAGCCTCTGGAAGGCCCTCACACCACTCGATGTTTAAATTTAGTTTCAACATTTGCAACACAAATAAAGAGAAATTCACAGTTGACACAAAGATGAGTTGTCTTCATCCATCTTCCTTTAAAGTTGCTTACTCTAGAAAAGATGCCAAATTTTCGACGTTCCCATAATCACCCTCCACAGACAGCACACATCCTTTGTACATCAAACAGCAGTGACTGAACAGCAGTGACTCAGGGTGAACGACCCTGGGGGATTGGTTTGCTGAGATTGCTCTTCGCTAATTACACATGCATGTCTGTTCCTCCTCTATTTTAGAATTAGAATAGGAAGACCTTCGTCCAGAAAGCTGGGTCAGCTTGGCCACTGGGGATCTGTTACTAAATAAGCCAGCCATCTTTTCACTGTTTGCAAAGGTGAACTGATTTTCTAAAAGTGACCTTTTCAGTCCTAAGGAAAACCACTTCTTACTGCGCCCTCCCCCCCCCCCCCCCCCGAAGATTAAACTCGGTAAATTCTTAGCTACAGTCAGCCAAGACTCTTCCCCTGAGCCACACTTCTTTCCCCAGGAGGGCTCTCTCAGCCATTCACCTGGAGGAGAAACCCGGCTTGACTTAAGGCCCATTTATCTCCATGTAAACCGTCCCTGCGTTTAAATATGATGTTATGTGAAAGGCTGTCACTGTGGCTGTAAAATTTAAAATATCAGGGTCCAGAAGCAAAGCATCACTGGGGCGGACGCCTCTCAGGCAGCCTTGGTGGTAGGCTGTGCTGTGGTTGCGGGAAGACACTCTATCCATTGCTGCGAGTTATTTGTGGCTCTCTGAGGAATGCACTTAACACTGCTCTCCGTGCTCCCTCTCAGGGGTAGACGTGGAACTTTCTAGTTCTTGTTAGGATGTTTGCTCCAGGCCAGGGGTGTCCTCTGGCACAAAAAGCCTGATATCAGGAAGGAACTCGCGGGAGAGCCCTGAGAAGCGGGCCAGGAATGTGCCGTTTTCTCATCCCAGCTCATCCCAGCCGCTGCTGGGAGTGAGCTGCGTGGCAGCATCGCCGCTGATGGAATTTCAGCCCCGCTCCAACCTGACAGCCACAGGAAATCCCGGACAAGCCGCTGTTTGGAAGGGGTGCATGTGAAGTGGACTGGTTTTATGATTAACGGAAAGTTATTGGGGGGGGGGGAAAAAACATTTTTGTTTCACCTCATGTTGTTAGAAGTCTTTAAAAGCTTGTGGTTCACTTACCTTTTTTGCAAAGTAATTAAAAATGTATTTCAGTCTTTTTTTTTTTTTAGAATTAAACTGTGCAGTACGTCCATGGCATTAGCTTAATCATAAAAGCTTATTCTGCATTTCTGACAATATGCTGTTGACGGTAAATTTGTTGGACTGAAAGTGTGCAGATTCCAGAATAGGCTGAGTTGTTACCTTAGAGGGGAAAATCCCTGATACAGATTCTGTAATTGTTTCCATTTTTCTGAAAGCATTATAGAAGAAATGGCATCTAATTGAGGGTTGTGAGTTGTCTGAATGTGACTTCATAGTGTAAATACTGAGCGCTGTGGTGGGGAAAGGACTCGTTTAACTCCTGGGCCGTGGCTTTCAGCTCTGCTCCCCGCCGGCCTCGCTGCGAGGCTCAGGGCCAGTCACAGGCCTGGGCAGCCCAGCTCTCGGGCAGAGACAGCTCTTGGGATAAAAAGTCATGCATTTTACTTTGTCTGTAGAAATGCATTGTCATTAGCATCCAGTTTCCCAGTTTCTTTCACGGGACTGTTCATCCAGTCATGAACACCCACAGTTACGCTGCCTGTGCATGCGTGTATATGAAGTTATGGGAGATTCGAGTTTTCTGTAACATCTGTAATCTACAGAACTCCTTCGAGACCGTTTTCAGGGGGAGGAACAGCCTCTTTGGTGCCTGTTCCCAGAGCTTTGCACGGAGACTATAAATTAAGCTGTGGAAGGCTATAATGAGCCAGTAATTTATAGACTATTAAGATACTTAGTTAGAAATTATTCTTGAGCATGTCCAATAGGGAACACATGTTTACAAAGGACAAACAGATTCAACACAACATGTCTTTAACCTAACCAAGTCCAGGCAATTAACAGAACGGGATGTCTTATTTCGCCTATCTCCCACTCCCCCAAAATAGGATCGCTAGCCACTTGTTAAACCGCACTGACTTTTTAATAGACAAAGCAGCTGCGAGGGCTCTGCCACCAGAACTGCTCAGAGTAAGCCCCTGTCAGAGTGCGGCCAGCCGGCCACAGCACGGGATGAAGCTTGCCTTGCCGCGCCTCCTCTCCTGTTGGACTTGTGATAATTCACTGCAGCTTTCTCCTTCTCCGCAGAGCGCCTACCGCAGGGCCGGGATGGCCTTCCTGGCCTGCTGACTGCGGGGCGCGGACACGGGACCGGCGCTGCTCCCTGAAGGTGATTCTGTTCCCGGGGTGGACAAAGCAAAGCACACGGTGACCTTCTCTGCACCCCCAGGAGTGGGCCGGTTTGTTGTGACTACGGAGGGGCTGACTCCAGCTCTTCCCCAGCCCCCTCAATGCCTAGTCTTGTTTACTAGACAGGCCGTTGGCTAATTAATGGCAGGATGTTTGGGAGAGTGTGTAGGTGGACAAGAATGCGGATCACACAATTTTGAAATTTTAATTTGGAATGGATTTACTGCCCTCAGCTCACATATCTTAAAAGCAGTGTCTTATTTTTTTGTCTTTTTTTTTTTTTTCAGTGTTTAGTCTATGTTTTAGTTGATGCATTTAGTAATCCAAGTTTGGGACAAAGGAAATAAAATTAAAAGGACAGTCAGCTTTCCCCTGGCACTTTACTTTCCAGCCTCGTTGACTACATCCACATGGACTTTAGAGACAGATGTCTATTTTGTAAACTCACAGGAATCAAAGTTTGAGGGGACGTGGTGAACTCTGTTCCTGTCCTCGCCTCCCTGCTCCCACTCACAGTGTATGTCATGTTCATGCCTTCTTCCCGGCTCTCTGCATGTCTGCCTGGCGCGTGTTTTCCCGCATCCGGACCCTCTCCCCATCTCCAGCTCTTTCCTTCCCTGTCCCTGTTGACCCAGGCCGACCGCTCTCACACCCACCCTCCCCTATGGAGGGGAGCGAGGATGTGCTCTCTCCCAGCACCACCTCCCTGAGGCTGCACGTGTGGACAGGAACTGCCGGTAGCAGCCGAGCTACCCTCTGGCATCTATGCTCTCTCCAGTACGCGAGGAACTGGCACCCTCGGGAACAAGTCAAAATAGAGCAGACGTAATTGTACAGTTCCTGATTAGACTGGAATTGCAAAAGAACACAGGAAGTTATTCCTTTAAATTCGTAGGAGTTTTGTGTAATTTTGCTTTTATCATGGCTTTTACTCCACTGAGACAACCTTTGTAAAGAATTAATAGACACAGAAATGAGAAACATGAAAGGTTTCGTCTGGTGACCAAAGTCATTGTGCAGCCCAGCTAATATGATTGGGCCACATTATTCCCATTTGTTAACTATCACTTACCTGTTCTATGTTAGTCCTTCTGGAAAAAATCTTTATGTCAAGGACAGAAAGTGCAGATATATAATATCAGAAGTTTTCAAAGGGTTTTGATGTTCCATCTGTGTTGTTAAAATGTATGATTAAACTTTTCTTTTTATCATCATTCTTATTTTTCTTGGCGTCCCTAATCATAGAAAATTATAAGCTTGCAGTAAACATCCTAACTTTTGAAATGACAGCATTTATTGTATTTGGTTTCGATCTGCCTGGCTTATTGATGTATAAAATTTTCGGGGGCTATTTTTTCACATCAAAATTCCTTCTCTTCCCACATTATACATTTTAAACTATGCACAAGGCAGAAAATATAGGGTTTAGGGTTTTCCCCTTCATTTTATTCTACCTGATCTCCTTATACTCCCAGAGAAGGAAGACTCAACGTACATTTCTCTCAGAAATATGACAGGTCTGTGTTTTTGTTGGTCTGGCGTATGTTTGTCTATCTTGAACAGTCTGACAGGTAATTATTTATAAAATCTGGTTTTGCCCAGTAAGTCCATATAATAACCTTTCACTTTCCATCATAAGCCACTGAGCTGCATTTAGAATCAAACAAGGTCATTTATGTCTTTCCTGAATCAGCCTACATGTCCCCATAATTGCTCAATATTAATATTTTTAATTCTTTTTTTTTTTTTTTACTTTTCTACCCATAGGTTCTTTCCCTGACTCTTTCCACAACACTAAATTCAAAGTGAAATAAAATTTCCTTAAGCAGTGAATATAGAAAAAAAGAAGGAACATTTCAGAAAATGTGACTTCAATAAATTTCTCTCTAAAGATTAAAATGTTAGGTAGATTCATAAAATATTAGAGCAGAAGATGGTCTTAAAAAAATCATTGAAAACAAACATTTGTTTCACACATTAAAACACATGGCCCAGGGAGGGAAACCAACGTGCCCAGATGGCTCAGCAAAGTCAGGGAGCCCAGGGCCAGGTCCTGGCCCCAGGTCCCAGGCTAGCGGTGTGCTCCATGCTGGGCTTGCTCCGACATTACCAAGACACGTCGCTTCTATGGTGTGTGTACCTCAGACGTGTTATATTAAAATGTTCTTCAAAGGGACTGATATTAACTAAATAATCTGCCAGTTACACAACAATGTTTTTAAAAAAGAAGTCTGCAAGCAAGGGAGAGGGGAATTAGCCTACTTTGTGTCAGGAAGCAGATCGCTGGCATTTCTTCTATCTTCATAATGACTTCATGAAGTACATGCTATAAAACAAAAAATAGACACAAAAATCATGCTCTCTAAATCAAATGTGAATACACAGAATAGTTCCTATTTTTGTAGGCTTGCATTTTGGAGATTAAATTTGAAAATAAAATCAGTAAATTGCCTCTCTAGTGGGAAATTGATACTGCCTCATAGATTTGAGAGTAAAAGAAATAGAAATATTTCTCCTTTCACCTGAATTTGAAAATTTGACTTCGTGAACATGCCATTTTAAAGCGATGTCTTTAACCTTCCTGTCTTCACACATCACAATAGTTGAGATCCAAAAAGAATGTTCCAGCTCTGGCCAGGTAGCACAGTTGGTTAGAGCATCCTCCATATGCCATGGTTGTGGGTTCCAGCCCCAGTCAGGGCACATACAAGAACCAGCCAATGAGTGCCTCACTCAGTGGAACACCAAATTGATCTTTCTCTTTCTTTCTCTCTCACATCAATAAATAATAATGTTCCCATTTTAGAACTGAGAATTTTTATTTAAAAAAACAAAAGCACAAATATTTTTTAAATTATGTACGTACTTTCTGTATGTGGGGAAAATTCTTCATTTATTACTGTCTGTCCTTTGTTTCTATAAAATAATAAATAATTCACATTTAATGCTCTTACCACGTAGAAGACAAATAAATATAACTGGCGATTCTTGTTCGGAAAGAAAATATATGTTTACCTGTCTAGAAAGTATAAAATTTAATTTCATGAAAAAGAATTTATATAGTTCCCATATCAGATATTTCTTCCCAGTTAATGTAACCCCTTGTGTAAAACCGAATTGCTATAGAGAAACTATTCCCTCATCTGTCCTCCTGGAATTTAGATAGAACTGTCCCAGGTTGCATTTAAAATTTTACCATCAACCATGTACACATCTCATAAAATATTTTACAGTTTCCTGTATGCTCTGGCTGAACATTTCATAGTACATAAACACTTCTGCAAATAATATCAGGCATCAAGCCGAACATATCATGGCAGTGGCCCCCACATAAAGCCGAGTGTCCAGCCATTTATTTTCTTATTTTTATCTATTTATTTGAAAGCCACAGGGAAACTGTGTGCTCTGATTGTGCAGTGGCAGGGGTGGGGTCCGGCGGTTTGAGGGGAGCTGTGTTCACCAAGCAGGGGCTCTGCAGAGGGCAGCCAGCCGCGCTTCAGCAGCAGAACCGTGCCTGCAGGAGCCGGAGGGAAATGTGACGCCTAAATAAGGGCCAGATGCCTTTAAAAACTCGGATATTAAAAAGTCATATCTCTTCAAGCAAGCCTCTCGTGTTGTGAATAGGACAGTGATATCATAGCACTTAAAAAGAGAAACAAAGAAAGAGATTGGCATTTGTGTTTTGGAACAAAATAGCCAATATTTAAGCTGTCATAAGTCATGGGGATTTTGACAATTGAAGCAGATTTTAAAACAATTAATTCTTACAAAGTCACGAGAAGCCCACATACAGTGTGTCATTGTTGGAAACCTCGGTGATTCTGTATGGAGCGTTACATTCATGTTCTCTTTTCTGCTCATCACCACCCAACAGTATCCACTGTTCTCGTTTTTTTCCAAAGGAAAGTAAAAATAGAAAAAATATAGGAAGAATGAATAATCAAGATGATTGCTTACATAATTTTACTTTACCAAGTAACACTGCACTTGCTATTAAAATGATGGTATATCGTGTCAGTGTTTTAACAGTAAGTTTGACACAATTATGGCACATGGTATGCCCCCCTGTGCACTAAACACTTTGTGGGTTGTCTCGCTAAACACAACCCCATCACAAGAAACGCATATGCTCTCCCTGCCGCCTTTGGGCAGCAGGGGTAAACTGAGGAACGGAAGGCTCGGTGCCTTATGTGGAGGCACCCACAGTGCAGTTGGCATCCACGCCCAGCACGCTGACCCCAAGGCTCACGCTCAGAACCACTGAGACACAGCATGGAGTTTTTATGAATAAAGTGTTGTAGGAGATTGTCAGAGAGGATTGCTCCCAAACTGGAAGCACTTCTCAGCACCAAAAACCCTGATTACCAGAGAAACCCATTTTAACTTTCCTTCGTTAAGGCCAAATAGTGTGTATATAATAGAATATCAAATAATGTATAATAGAATGTAATTACATAGAACAATGCCAGGTCTTCTGTAACGTCTTAATAAATAAATACGAAGATAAATGCACGTACTAAGCATCATTATACAGATTAGGAACGAAGTGTCCTCAAAGGTCCATGTGTACCAAGCCTCCCCTTGCGAAGATGAGATCTCTCCAGAAAGTTCTCGTTACTTAGGCTGCTAGTGTGTTCTTTCATGCAGGTAAGTAGCCCGCGTTATAAAAGTCCCCACCTGTGTGCATGTGTCTGCCACGGCGCACAGAGTCCCCACGGCAGTCCTTGGCTGGTGTTCGCTCATTACCTAGGTCATAGGCCATCGTTTCTCCAGACCCAGGCGGCCGTGAGCCGGAGGGGCACGGTGAGCAGAGGGCAGGAAGAAGGCGGCTGAGCTCAGCTTGAGTTAGCAGTGATCCTTTTCCTCTCATTGCGGTGGGCAGCCTTTTCCCTTCAAGCCCTCGGTCTGTGCTGCCTTAGCACAGGTCGTTTTCTGATGTCTGCCTGTTCAGGCCCCCTGGCAGCGCACCGGCCACTGGGCCTGCGGGCTGCAGCTGTCCGTTCTGAGTGGCCCTGCTTGACTTCTTCCAGCCTCTTTCCCTGGGAGAAGTGAGTCCACCTAGCAGTGCAGGGGCCAGTCCCCGCCACTCCTCCCTGACCTGTATGTGCCCATCCGGCAAGCGGACCCTACAGGCAGCGACATGTCCACCCTGGCAGCGGCATAAGCGAGATCCATATGGCCTCAGCGTTCCATGTTCCTAGGCCGCGGGGAGAGACCAGCCCAGCCGGAGGGGCCAATGACTGAGTCCTGAGTCAGGCAGGCTCCTACCCTGAAGGGTAGCCACGCAGTTTTCAGTTTGCATCCATACCCAAAAGGAGATGGCAATGGAATCTCTGTTCATTCATTCATTCATGCATTCATTGTTTTCATTAAAAATATATATATATACGTTAGCACCTATGAAAGCCAAGCAATCACTATGGAGTCTATAAATTCCCAAACAATAAGTCAAGGGCTTGTGGGGAACATCAGAAGTCTTCAAGGGGCTCATGGGGCTACTTAGATAGATTAAATTATGTGTAGGTTAACTCCTTAAGTTTTGCCCACGTGGGCACCACTCTGTTTCCAAAAAAAAAAATTAAAAAATAATATTAAAAATAATATATATATATATATAATGTATATGTTGTATAACATACATTAAATAAATACATATGTGCACCATTGTGATTTATTAAATATAAATTCATTTAAAAGTGATCACAGAATCCTGTGCCATGCCTGCCTCCCTCCCCACAAACCAGGAAACAAGTGAGAAACTACCTCAGGCAGCTCCTCCAAGACTGGCTGCTCCCACTTCCTCGGGAAGCACAGACAGCCGTGGAATCTTACCCAGGCGCCTGTGTGGGAACCTGCGAAATTACTGGGCGCTTTTCCCCTGTCATGTCTAGTGTGAGTTTCCCTGAACAGGATGAAAAATAAACCCGCTTCCTCTTTCCTAGGTTTTCATGGTGACCTCCTTCCCACCAATACACCTGCCCACCTCAGTGCCTAGACCTGCTGCCTGCTCTCACCTCTACGTCCCTGTTGGTCTCCAGCCTTCCTATGAGTGTCCCTAATCATCTCTCCTGGGCTCTGCAGCCTGTCCCAGCTTAAGGGTTTCCTGCGGGCAAGTCTTGAATGTATACATTTTTGTAATCACCACATGCACACACTAGGTATCCAATAAACATTTGTTAGATGGTTAACAGAAAAACTCATTTAAGTAGAAGCACAGAATCCTTTTCGTTGTTGTTAAATCTCTGTGTAATTTCTTATCGATGCTGTTTCACTTATTTGGCTGCAAATCTCCTGAACTGTAGATGATCACAACCTTTTTCTTAAAAACAAATACAGTGTCTCCGGAAATCAACTCAGAGCGCCCCATGCTCAGGCCCACTGTGGCCTTTCTGAGTGGGCATTGCGACTTCAGGCTGTTTGAAGGGGTTAATGGGCTCAGGAAGAGAGGAGCTCGATCCCACTTATCCTGCTGAAGACTTAAGGAACTGCCCTGTCCCATCCAAATGTAATCCACACAAACAAGTAAAGAATCCTAGACTCGCCCGCTACTTTTGTATATAGCACTGTCTTTGAAAACCTGCTAGCTCTCCCATTGTTTCCTGTAAAGACAATGAACCATTTTAGGATAAAATTTCCTTAAAGGAAATGGAAATAACATTTCCATCAACCTTAAAGTAGATATGATGATCTGTTCAGACTGAAAAGAATGAGATTTTTGTGAACTGGAAGCAACAGTTTATCACCCAAGAATAGCTTGCGATAAAAATGTGTTTTCTGTATCTCCGTTCGTTCATTCACTCATTCATGCATTCATTGTTTTCATTAAAAAAAAAAATACGTTAGCACCTATGAAAGCCAAGCAATCACTATAGAGTCTATAAATTCCCAAACAATGAGTCAAGGGCCCGTGGGGAACGCCAGAAGTCTTCAAGGGGCCCATGAGGCTCCTTAGATTAAATTATGTGTAAGTTAACTACGCATATTTTGCCCACATGGACACCACTCTGTTTCAAATATACATATACAATATATATGATGTATAACATACATTAAATAAGTACATATGTGCACCATTGTGATTTATAAAATATAAGTTCATTTAAAAGTGATCATAGAATCCTGGTAGCTTTTTAACATTACCTTTTTTTTTTTTTTTTTTTTTTAATTCACAAGGTAGGAAAAATGCAAGTTATCGAATGCATGGGTTAGTGAGTGAGTTTTTGCTAAAAGGGACGGTTGGGCTCAGGGCACAGGCCCACTGCTTTCTGTGCTTGACAGGAACAGCCAGTCGCTTCGAGGGGCTGTGCCTCCTGAAGGCTTGGGGCTGTTTCGATCAGTATTCAGGGTGTTTTTCCTTCAGCATAACCTGTCACCCGAACTTATTTCAGTCTTATTTTGGGAAAAATTTATGATCTTTTTAACAGTAGGAAGTTTTGCGTTTCCTGGCATTTTATTGCTTTGGGTATTTGAAGCATTTCAATCCCAGACAATAAATATTATGTGATTATTGTTTTCATATGGATAGGTTATTTCCTCTCTGTTTTTTTCTAAACCCCTTTCCCAACTAATAATACTCAACAATGTATTAACATGAAACTGTGCCATTCAGCTTTTCCAGAATCAGGCATAATGAAAATTGAAAGAGGGGCAGGTTAGAGGGAGGAGGGTTAGTCAGAGTTAAAAATAAATGGAGGTGTGTGGTTTTCTTTCAGCTGGATTTCAAATGTTTCTTGCTCAGTTGAGATCAAGATTATATGAATTCTATAAATCATGTTTATAAGCTCTCATAACCAGTTATCACATTAAGTGGTATCTTTTTATAGGATTATTATGGGAAGAAAGTGGGTCTCAACAAAGTAGATGATATTAGCCAAGCACCCCATGATTACTGCGTGTTCAAAAGCACGCCCTTTAAATGTCTACCCTCATGGCTCTCATCTTCTTCACATCTTCTCACACTGTCACTGAGAGAAGTCTTCGCTGGCCACCCTTTTAAATACTGAAACCCCAGCCTCTGCGCTAGCACACTATTTCCCTTCCCTGCTTTTTGTTGTTGCTGTTCACTCGAACAAGTACCGTTTCCTATACTTATTTATCTTGTTTATTGTCTCCTCCTTCTAGAATGTAACCTAAGATTAAGGATACAGCCTATTTCACCCACTGCCCCATCTCTAGCACTTGGAATGGGGCCTGACACACAGTGCACTCGGTCAGTATCTTACTGAGTGGATCATGGGTTGATCAGTCCTTAAATCTACAGTTTTTCACAGCACTGGACCCATGTTGCTGGACTTTCATGTCTTCTCACTTCTGTCCTGGCTGCTGTTGTTTCCCTCCCCACCTCGATGTCAGCTTCCCCTGACCTTCCTAATTCCTCTGAACTTCCACTGTGACACCAGTCTGTTTAAAAGGCTTTACATCCAGTACTTCCTAAATCACAGTGCATCTTCAACAGAGTAAGAGATTTGGCCACCACAAGCAAGAGTGAGTTATGATTCAGTAAGGTTTTCTTTAATGAGAGGGCGAATTTTTTATATATCTATTTCACTACTTATTCGAATTTTCTTTTTAATACAACTCCAGGTTAATATTTTTAGTGCATTTATGACTTTATATATTACAATAGTATTTTATTTTTTAATTATTAATTTGAGAGAGAGAGAGAGAGAGAGAGAGAGAGAGAGAAACATTTATCTTTTGTTCCAATTATTTATGCATTCATTGGTTGATTCTTGTATGTGCCCTGATTGGGGATTGAACCCGAAACCTTAGTGTATCAGGATGATGCTCCAGCTAACTGAGCTACCTGGCCAGGGCATAGTGTTGTTTAGATAGGACAAATAGAATATATTTCTTTTATTAGGTATCAGTTTACACGCAGTACAATTCAGTGGCTTTAGACAAATAAACACATTTATGTAACCACCACCACAGTGAAGGTACATGAACCCCAAAAAGTTGTTTCCTGTTTCTTTGTCATTCACCCGTCCCCTACCATGGCATCACTAACTCCTGGCAGCCACTGATCTGATTTCCCTCTAAGTTTACCTTTTCCAAAATAGCAAATAAAAAGGAATCATTCTATATGAATTTGGATTTCGAGGATTTTTTGTTGTCTGACTTATCTCACTTAGCAGAATGCTTCTGAGGGTCAGCAGTTTCTGCGTGAATCGGTAGTTTATTCCCTTCCATTGCTGAGTATTCCCTGTATGAATGCACCACAATGTGTTTACTCATTCAGTATTGAATGGACCTTTCCATTGGATTACTGGCTATCTATAATAAGAAAAGCATAATATGCTAATTAGACTAGACAGCCGAACGACCTTCTGGACATCATTCCGGACATCCTTCCAGATGAAGCTGCCATGGCAGGAGCCAAGGCTGAAGCAGTTAGGGGCAATCAGGCAGGCAGGTGAATAGTTAGGGGGGATCAGGCAGGCAGAATGGTTAGGAGCAATCAGGCAGGCAGGCAAGTAGTTAGGGGTGACCAGGCAGGCAGGCGAGTGGTTAGTGGTGGATCAGGCAGGAAGGGAAGCAGTTAGGGGGTGACCAGGTAGGTAGAGTGGTTAGGGATGATCAGGCAGGCAGGCAGAGGCAGTTAGGGATGATTAGTTAGGCAGGCAAGTGGTTAGGATCCGGTGGTCCTGGATTGCAAGAGGGATGTCCAACTGCCAGGTTAGGCCCAATCCTGCAGAGATCCCTGAGGGATCAGGCCTAAACCAGCAGTAGGAACATCCCCTCAGGGATCCCAGATTGCGAGAGGGTGCAGGCTGGGCTGAGGTACCCCTCATCCCCATGCATGAATTTCATACACCAGGCCTCTAGTTAAGAATAAACAATTTTAAAGAAGAAGAAAGCTGCTATGAACATGGACAGAGCTTTGTGTGGACTTAAGTGTGCAGTAGTATTGGGTAAATACCTAGGAGTGGAATTACTGGGTCATGTGGTAAGTGAATATTTAATTGCCAAATTGCTGTACCATTTGGTATTCCATCAGAAATGTGAGATTTCCAGTTGCTCCATATTTTTGCCAGCATTTGGTATAACCTATTTTTTTGTTTGTTTGGTTGGTTGGTTGATGGTTTAGTTTTAATTTTAGCAGTCCTCATGGGTGGATAGTGGATCTCATGGTGGTTTTACTTTGCTTTCCTAATGATATTAAGCATTTTTCTTGTGTTCATTTTCCATCTATATTGTTTCTTTGTTGAAGTGTTTGTTTGAATCTTTTGTCAATTTATTAAAAACTAGAGGCCCAGTGTGCACGAAATCATGCGCAGTTAGGGTCCTTAGGCCTAGCCTGGCCTCCGTTGCATGGCTTCTGCCGCCCTGGCCCTGCGACAGTATGTGAAGCTCCCCTTCCTGGGATGCTCCGCCATGCTCGCCCGTGGACTGCTCCTCCAGGAAGCTTGCTGCCGCCCTGTGAAGCTCACCGCTGGACACTCCACGAAACTCCCCCCACCTCGGACCCTGCAACTGTTCCTTGAAACTCCCCCACCCCGCGACTGCTTCTCGAACCTCGCTTCCACCTAGGTGACTGCTCCGCTAAGCGCACAACCACCCCACAAAGCAGCCTGCCACCACCGCTCAACAGTCCCCCGGCCCGCCCCGCCACCAGCCTCCGCTCATAGTGAGCGGATTAGGGGCTGGAGGAGAGGAGGACCAAGACGTGCTCCGTGTACTTCATGGTGACCGGACACCGGTTTGGTCATGACGCCACCTAGCTGTTTATATATATTTGGATTGGTTGTTTGTCTTTTTATTACAACATACGAGTTCATATATTCTAGAGATAGAAATGTGTTTTTAACGTATTTTCTCTAAGTCGGAGGTTGTCTTTGGGAGAGTTGAAGTTTTTAATTTTGAAGAAGTCCAATTTATCAATTTTTATTCTTTTATGGCTCATACTTTTTGTGTCTTAGCTAAAAAATACTGATCTAACTCAAATCACAAGGGTTTTCTCCAATGTTTTATTCTTATTATTTTGACTTTTAGCTTTTACTTTTAAGTCTTTGATTTATTCTGAGTTTATTTTTTATATATGGTGCAAAGTAAGCGTTGAAGTTCCTTTTCTGTGTATGGTTTTCTGATTGTCCCAACACCATTTGTTGAGAAGATTATCCCCTCTCTTCATTAAATTGACATCTTTGTCTTAAAACCAATAACTGACCGTGTGTGTGTGTGTGTGTGTGTGTGTGCGCGCGCGCGTGTGCGCGGGGGTCTATTTTGGATTCTATATTGTTCCATTGACCAATATGTTTATTCTTGTGCCAGTACCTCACTGTCTTGATTACTAAATCATTAAATCAGTCTAATGAATATTTCAGTTTTTCTTTTGCAAAATTATTTTTTAGTCTAGATTCTTTGCTTCTCCATATTTCTGCAAAACACTTTCTTGGGATTTTGATTGGAATTGTTTTGAATCAATAGCTCAATTTGGGGAGAACTTAGCAGTAGTGAGCCTTCTAATCAAGGCACATGGCATAGTTCTTTACTTAGGTCTTTTCCAATCTCCCTCATCAATGTTTTATCATTTTCAGAATATAAATCAACTACATATTTTGTTATATTTGTCCATGGATACTTTATGTTTGATACTATAAGAAAGATTTAAAATTATTTTCCATTTTCAATTCATTGCTAATATAAAGGGGGAAAGTATATTTTTGTATAGGAAACTTTTGTCCTGCAATCTTGACAATCTCATGCTTGTTTTTTTGTGTGTTTTTTGTTTGTTTGTTTTGTTTTGTTTTATTGTTTTGTTCTGTATATTCTTTGAGACTTTCTACACAAATGATCATGATTTTCAAATGCAGACAGTATTTGATCTTTCTAATCTATATGCTTTTTATTCTTGTAATCTTCACCTGAGGATATGTTTTTATTGATTTCAGAGACAGAGAAACATCGATCAGTTGCCTCCTGTAGGTGCCCCGACTATGGATCAAGTCTACAACCTGTGTGTGCCCTGCTCGAAAATCAAACCCAAAACCTTTTGGTGTACAGGACAACACTCCAACCAACTGATCCTCCCAGCCAGGACTACACTTTTCATTTCTTCTTGCCCCCATTTTCGTACATGAGATGCTGTAGGAACCTAAATCTCGTTTGTATCTGTTAGCCTATGGTAAAGTTGGTTTTCATATACCGTGGTTTGCTCAAAGTCACAGAACTTATGGATGAGGTTAAGTGAGAGTTCAGTGTCACACTGTTTAATAGGAGTGTTGAGAACAGACATCCTGATTTTATGGAGAAAACATTCTTGGTTTTCAGCCACTTGGTTCTGGTTCTGTATCTTGCTATATTTAGGAATTTTTATTGAAGGCCAGACATTGTACGTGGAAAAATATAGAAGCAGTGGATGGTGATGTCTTCCAAAGAAGATTTAATTCTCTGACAGACAGATGGGGCCACAGTCGGATAAAGGTGGATATATTTCTGCTTTGCCCTTATTCCTGGAAAGTATCCCTAGGGTTTGAGCTGAGAACCTGTGGGGTTCACCAAACCCCTTTAATCTTGGTGATCCTTAAAATCTGGCCTCTGACTCCCCTACCCCTTGAGATTGTTGAGATGCCTTACCGCTTTAACCTCCCAGATGCTGCTCTCACTCACATGTGCAGCCCTGGAGCTGACATATACTCAAGGGGAAATTACATGTAGAAGTATAAGCTGACTTCCCTGCAGTTTGCTACTCTTTGAGATCTTGGTCCTTCAGCTGCCCTGGCAGCCCCAAGCTCCCACCCCTGAAACCCCAGCCCAGCGAGGCTGCTGCAAGTTCGGACCCCTCTTTCCACTTGGCTTCTCTTCTTCTCACATTTTATTGGAAAATTCCCTGAAGGAGGAAATTACTGGGCCAAATGGAAATGGAAGTTGTAATTTAGTTAGATATTAAATTGCTCTACAACCCTAACTGGTTTGGCTCAGTGGATAGAGTGTCAGCCTGCAGACACAAGGGTCCCAGGTTCAATTCCAGTCAAAGGCATGTACCTTGGTTGCGGGCACATTCCCAGTAAGTGGTGTGCAGGAGACAGATGATTGGTGTTTCTCCTCTTATTCATGTTTCTAACTCTCTCTTACTGTCCCTTCCTCTCTGTAAAAAAATCAATAAAATATATATTTTTAAAATAATAATAAAATAGGAAAGGGACTCTACATTATTCACCTGGGCCCATTCTAATCACATGAGCTCTTGAAAACAAAAGGGAGGCAGAACAGTGAGTAAGAGAGATATGACATGAGGACTTGACATTGCCAGCTTTGAAGATGAAGTAAGGGGCCCATGAACCAAGGAATGTGGTGGCCTCTGAAACAGCTATTAGTTTAGAACCAGCAAGAAAACGGGACCTCAGTCCTACAGCCACAAGGAACTGAACACTCCTGACGATCTGACAGAGCAGGAAACCAGTTCTCTCCTACAACCTCCAGAAAAGAAGACTTGGTTTTAGTCCAAGAGACCCATACCAGACTTCTGGCCTACCTGTCCATTTTATGTAAACTTCTAAATTTGTGATAGTTTGTTGCACAGTACAGAAAACTATTACACAATTGTTTTGTATGTTGTCCAACTTTTATAGTTGTTCTCAGGTTAAAGATGAGCCTCTCATAGCTTTCTGTGCCCGTCAAGTGTCCAGTCACAGAGTCAGAACCACTGTTCTTTGTGG